AATCATAATAATAACTGTGGGAGTTCTTTAGAGATATTTAACATTTGCACATGCACTGACCTTCAGCATTGTTATGTATTTTATATGTATATGGAATATCTGGCCAATGCCACTGGAAGCTGGAAATCATTGACGTAGACTGCTGCTCCAGTGCTTCTGGATCCTGTGCCGAGCAGCTGCTCTCCTGCATCATGAGCGCAGAAGGTCAGCCGTTGGCAAGGGCATCATTCAGAGAATTATTTGCACTTTTCGGAATGAATGCATAGAGATCTGTGACTGAACATGATGGAGAGGAGGGGCAGTCACATCATGCTTCTCACTTCGTCCAGTCAGAGAACACTTTGGATTCATTTAGAAACTGCAAATTCTCTGAATGGTGCCAGTACTGAGTTTCTGACTTCCTGTATTTATAAGGCATCAGGCTGGCAGGCAGGGGACCTGGAAGTAACTGGAGATTACTGGAGCAGTGGTGCCTACTTCAGTGATTTCAAGCTTCCAGGGGCTTCAACCAGGCATGGCATATTCATAGTTTCAATGGTCCAAGCCAACCAATGTAACTAAGTTTAACACGTGGATGCCTGGAATTATTTTTTAAGTTAATGTTTGCTTATTTATTCATATATTTTGCCATTGGCGAGTTCTCTATTGAAGATTTATACACCTGGATAGTTCTTCTAATTTTGCTTTTTTTACCTATTGAGTTCCAGACCTGAAACCAACATTTTTGTATATAAGATTTCATGACATCCTATAAGCATCTGGGTGAGTGACACACATTAAATTGTGAGGATAGAATAGGAATAACCAGTTGAAGTACATGCCTTCAAAAATATATGTCAGCAGTTCCAGCCCGACAGTTATCAAGACAGCTCCCATCTAAGCCCTGGTTCACATATATGCGGGCCGCGTTTTGCGTGGGCACGAGAGCCCATTAATTTGAATGGACTTCCGTGCCCTGTGGCACGCAGGGAAGAAGTCCCTGCACTTCTTCTGAAAATGTAGCCCGCACGGGAACCTCGGTTTGCAGTATGGTTGCGTTTTCCAGTGCGGGAGGCTTGCCATTAGAACTAATGGCACCCGCTAGCAGGTCCACGTTTCTCTGTGCGTGTGGTGCGGCTGCATGGATTTTCGTGTGGATCCGCAGCGGCACCACCCGCACACATGTGAACCTAGCCTTACTTAGCTGGGTTGCCTTGGGTTGACACTGAAAATCTCCAGCAGGTCATACAGAGGATGGACAAAGTAATGCAGAGTTCTGAAACTGGGCAATGACTAAACAAAAACAGGCATATTGCCAAATGGCACCTTGTCTAGCCTTGAGATGCAGATGTTACAGCCAACTGATCCACTGTAAGAATATTACTATATACTTATGTATAATAGTTTAGCACTTTGAGAAAAATGGTTATTGTCAAATAACTTGAAGCTGACATATTATTACAGTATTTGAGCTAATCCTAATTTCAATTTGAATCTTAATTTTAATAGAAAGTGGAGGTCGGAAACTGAATGAAAACAAGGCGCTGACTGCAAAGAAAGCAAGGTAAGCTGAGTTTACGTTAAAGGCTCTCCTGGTTTTTCTTGGTTCTCCTGATTTGTACTTTCCAACCAAGTGGTTAAAACTGAACTTCAGATAAAACTGTTTTTGTTTTTACTATAGAGTGAGGAAGGGCTAGAATGTTTGTCAAGTTTTAAATGGCTTTTTGCCTGCTGAAAGGATTTCTATGTCAAGTTTGAAATACTTTTTGAGTGCCTTGGACAGGAGGTGAGAGGAAATTTTGCCTAACAGAGTTTTTATTGCTGAATGTTTCCCTGTTTGTGAGACTCCATGTTCTGTCTGATACTTATAGACAAGAAGTGGAGGAAAATCTCCCAAAGGGGGACAATGGCAGCAATAAATAGTTGATAGAGATTCTGACCTTTCTTATGATCCACAGCTCTAAAAAAGGGTTAAAGTGGAAATAAACTCCCAAAAATGCTCCCCTCCATCTTCTAGTGATGTGACAGTTGCAATCTCTGTTAGCTGCTGTCATCTTCTCCCCAGGATACTTCTGGGTGCTGGGTTTTTGGCCTCTTAATTGGTCAGCGGGTGACAGGAATTCATGGTGAACTGCACATGTCTGTTCCGCAAAAAAGAACGGCCTACTTGTAGTTTTTATAAGTTAGGTTTAGTTCTGCTTTAAAGTAGAATTCCAGACTAAACCTAACTAGTCTTAAAAATGCTCCCTCCCCCTTCCTAACATCTTTGATGACTAACCTGTGTAAGAAAGATGTATATACTTACCTATTTTCAGCACGCTGCAATCCAGTCACATGAGCTCCCCTGTATCAGCCAGCAGCAGCTGCAGGGGAGAGGAGAGAACTCAGGGGAATGCCTGGGAGCAGTAACATTACCCATGGGAATCCATGGCCCATTTGTTGTTGGTGGTCCCTCCTCCTTACCAGCCAGCGCTGACTGACACAGGGGAGCTGGATCACATGACCAGACTGGAGTGGTCTGAAAATAGGCAATCATACATCATTCTTACACAGGTTAGTCAGCATAGGTGTTATGAGGGGTAGGGAGCATTACGTTTAGTCTGGGATTCTACTTAAGTGAACTTATATCTTTACTTTGCAGCAGATAGTTGTCCTGGAATCTGACCAGATAATATTTTTTTTTTTTTTTTTTTTCATTGTCGCTGATTTTATTGAATTGGGGAGCACGTAGCTGGACAAGACATATTAGGATGTGGGGCTTCCAATTGTAGTAATTGACTGATCTTTCTGCCACAAAGACTTTTATGTGCTAAATAAAGAATGTAAAACTAAATTCTCACAAACATATTTTATGTAGTGTGAGTAAAATAGAAGCACATTAATTTTTATAACAAAATGCATTCTTCCTCTTATGTTGTGTTTTCTCCCTACACTGTACACATCCTGTAGTCTGTATTTACTGCAAAGATCTGTGTGGCTGCTTGTGTCCAAACCATGAGCATGCTGAAAAAGGTGACTACACCACAGATAATTGAGTAAGCACTGTCACTCTAGAAAAGGAGGGGCCTGTGAATACACCTTGCTGGTATGATCACTCATCAGTCACTTGGGATAATATTTCCATCTGCATTGGAGAACAGAGCGTTGAGAGGTCATTTGCTAGGTGAGTAAGGAAGAAGTGGGAGGAGCCTTTACAAAGACACCACACTTTCCCTAAATGGAGTCTTTTAAAATGAATTCCAGTCAATAGCTAACTAAGGCTAAACCTACTCCCACCCTCATTCTAAAGCTATTCTATCTAACCCTGTAAAGGGAAAATCCCAGTACTTACCTACTGTGAAGCCACTCTGGTCCGGCCCCAGGATGAGCTGTCAGCGGTGACTTCTGTGTTCAGGAAAGGCAGCTGATAATGGATGCCCCACAGTAAATCTATGGGTGGCATTTCCCAGCTGTTGTCGGCTCTCTCCTGTACACAGAAGACTGAAGTGGCTTCAAAATAGGTAAGAAAAGCAATCTTTTCTTTACAGGATTAGATAGAATTAGTTTTAGAATGTGGGGTGGGAGTAGGTTTAGCCTTAGCTATTGACTGGAATTCCACTTCCAAGTGTTACTAAATCCACAACAGTAAAATCAGTCTGTGCAGTAAAGCATGCTTGTTATACTCGCTGTGGAACCTAAGGGGTTAATCCTGTGCATTGTGTAAAAAGGCAATTTGATCCTGATTGCTCTGTTTCTCCCCTTGTTAACCAACCACCTCTTATCTCCTGATAACACAGACGGAACTGTAGGCATTTAGCACATGCTCAGTTTGCTATGTATGGCTAGAAGGTTTTTTTTTTTTTTTTTTTCTTGGAATAGTGCATGTGATCAGCACTGTTTTGCATCCTCCTAGAGCAGAAAGAAAACTCCTCCTACAATCTTTAGCTAGTGCTTGGCTGAACACTGATAGAAGCCACAAGACTCCTCTAACGTCTGATGAGAAAAGCTATTTAGCAGTTTATATTTACTAAAATAATTGCATTTTGATGTTTTGTGTACTGTGGGAGACCAGATCTAGTGAATGCAGGGTCCGGGGAGACCAGATCTAGTGAATGCAGGGTCCGGGGAGACCAGATCTAGTGAATTCAGGGTCCGGGGAGACCAGATCTAGTGAATTCAGGGTCCGGGGAGACCAGATCTAGTGAATGCAGGGTCCGGGAAGACCGGATAAAGTGAATGCAGGGTCCGGGAAGACCGGATAAAGTGAATGCAGGGTCCGGGAAGACCGGATCTAGTGAATGCAGGGTCCGGGAAGACCGGATCTAGTGAATGCAGGGTCCAGGGAGACCGGATCTAGTGAATGCAGGGTCCAGGGAGACCGGATCTAGTGAATGCAGGGTCCGGGGAGACCGGATCTAGTGAATGCAGGGTCCGGGGAGACCGGATCTAGTGAATGCAGGGTCCGGGGAGACCGGATCTAGTGAATGCAGGGTCCGGGGAGACCGGATCTAGTGAATGCAGGGTCCGGGGAGACCGGATCTAGTGAATGCAGGGTCCGGGGAGACCGGATCTAGTGAATGCAGGGTCCTGGGTTTAGTAACACTTTAAGTTCCAACTCTGCTTTTGAACATGTCTTTAATTACAGCTCTGTTCTGCTAAATGCACAGAAACCCATTTAAAATTCATCTTATTTTATGCTAGACTAGAAGAAGAAAACGTGGTTTCATCTGCAAGTAATGCACAGTATAATTTTTGCTTCCAGCCAGTTAGAATTCCTAGGTCATTTATAGTCCCAAAGAAGACTGGTTGACTTTTTAAAGTAATGAGGTGCGTTTTCTGTTCAGTTAAAGGGAAGCATGTCCATGTATGAATCAGGTGTCCCTAAGCACAGGCCTACCTAGGATATAGACATATCGATATTGCTGGTCATTGAGATTTGTATAGAGTTTGGTCATAGCACTCCTTTTCTAAATATAAATCTACTGAAACAAAATGTATTCATTTCACAATGTTCCTTTCCACTTGTCTCAGGTTTGACCCATATGGAAAAAATCGCTTTGCGGTATGTCGTATCTGCAAGAGTTCTGTCCACCAGCCTGGGTCTCACTACTGCCAGGGATGTGCTTATAAGAAGGGTGAGTGATGGAAATTCTGCCGCAAACATGAAATGTGAAACATACTATTAATTCTGAAGACTTGTTTCATGTTTTACAATTTTATTTTCTACCTTTATTACTTTATGTCTGATGACACAATCTGTGAATGGGGAAAAGAATTCTGTGACTGATCAGGATCATCCCCCATTTACAGATTGTGTTACAGGCAGTGTAATCAGTAAAAAGCACTATTCTCATTGGAGGAGAGGGCAGGAGGGGGGCTTGTCCCAATCAGATCATCTTTCGTGCAGCTGAACCTGAGGTTGTTAACCCCCACAGTGCCGGAATTTCTGCAGCAAGAGGAGAACAGGGCAGCCCTGCAGTTAAGATTTCCACAGAATCCAGCAGTCTGCACATCGTTGGACATACTTCATTTAAAGTGGTTGTAAAGGCTCAACGTTTTTTACCTTCATGCATTCTATAGATTGTTGCAGCAAAATCACACTTCTCATGTGGCCCTTAGTCTTTGGCATTAGCAATTTCTAGCTACAAGGAAAAGTCACTGATACAAAATCTAAAGCTGAATAGTAAGACCGAGGAATTTATATATATTTTTTTTTTTCTTCCTATAATTATTTTTGACCATAATCTCTTATGACTAAAAGTGATTTATTCGCCACTGTGTACAGTGTATGGTACAGTAAAGCTGGCCATAAATGGATCGTATCTCAGCCAGTTCAGCAGGAACTGGTTGAGATTCGATCTACCTTTGGACCAGGCTAGTTGTACTAAAGTCTAAAATCTATTGACTGACTTCAGTTCAACCAACCTGTCAGATTTTTTTGACAATCATATGGCAGCAGCTCAATCCATTTAGGCATCTAGCCGTGGTGAAGACTGCTTACTGAAGTTCAAATTGTGCATCAGAATGGGGAAGAAAGGGGATTTAAGTGATTTTAAACGTAGCATGGTTGTTGATGCCAGATGGGCTGGTCTGAATATTTAAAAAAATGCCTTGTTGGTGAGCTGTCAGAAGAGAATGGGCAGATTTGGTTCAAGGTGATAGAAAGGGCAACAATAACTCAAATAGCCATTTGTTACAACCAAGGTATGCAGAATACCATCTCTGAATGCATAACACATCGAACTTTAAAGCAGATGTGCTACAGCAGCGGAAGACCACAGCAGTTTGCATTCCTGTCAGCTACAAAACAGGAAATGGAGGCTTCAATTCACACAGGCTAATCACAATTGGACAAAAAATGATTGGAAAAACACCTGGTCTGATGAGTCTTGATTTCAGCTGTGACCTTTAGATGGTAGGGTCAGAATTTGGCGTAAACAACATGAAAGCATGGATCCATCCTGCCTTGTATCAATGGTTCAGGCTGGTGGTGGTGTAATGGTGTGGGGGATATTTTCTTGGCACACTTTGGACCCCTTAGTACCAACTGAGCATCGTTTAAATGCCACAACCTACCTGACTATTGTTGCTGACCATCTCCATTCCTTTATGACTACAGTGTCCCCATCTTCTGATGGCTCCTTCCAGCAGGATAATGCACCATGTCACAAAGCTCAAATCATCTCAAACTGGTTTCTTGAACATGACAATGAGATCACTGTACTCCAATGGCCTCCACAGTCACCAGATCTCAATCCAATAGAGCAGCAACTGCATGATGTTATATATCAATATGGACCGAAACCCCTGAGGGATGTTTCGCACTCCTTGTTGGATCTATGCCACTGAGAATTAAGGCAGTTCTGAAGGCAAAAGGGGGTCCAACCCGGTACTAGCAAGTGTGTACACTACAGTGCATTCATAAAGTATTCTAAACCCTCTTCACTTTTATCGATTTTGTTGTTTTAAATTCATTTTTTGTTCCTCATTAATTTACACTCAGTACCCCTTAATGACAAAATGAAAATATACTTTTAGAAATGTTTACAAATGTATAAAAAAGGAAAACTGAAGTGTCACATTGACTTAAGCATTCAGACTCTTTGCAACAACACTTGAAATGCAATTCAAGTGCCTCCCATTTCTCTTGATCATTGCTGAGATGTTTCTACACCTTGATTGGAGTCCATCTGTGGTAAATTAAATTGATTGGACATGCTTTGGAAAGGCACACACCTCTCCATAAAAGGCCTCACAGCTGACAATATACAGTCAGGTCCATAAATATTGGGACATGGACACAATTCTAACATTTTTAGCTCTATACACCACCACAATGGATTTGAAATGAATTGAACAAGATGTGCTTTAACTGCAGACTGTCAGCTTTAATTTGAGGGTATTTACATTCAAATCAGGTGAACGGTGTAGAATTACAACAGTTTGCATATGTGCCTCCCACTTGTTAAGGGACCTAAAGTAATGGGACAATTGGCTTCTCAGCTGTTCCAGGTGTGTGTTATATTCCCTCATTATCCCAATTACAATGAGCAGATAAACGTTCCAGAGTTCTGTTCAAGTGTGCTATTTGCATTTGAAATCTGTTGCTGTCAACTCTCAAGATGAGATCCAAAGAAGCTGTCACTATCAGTGAAGCCATCATTAGGCTGAAAAAACAAAACAAACACATCAGAGAGATAGCAAAAACATTAGGCGTGGCCAAAACAACTGTTTGGAACATTCTTAAAAAGAAGGAACGCATCGGTGAGCTCAGCAACACCAACAGACCCGGAAGACCACGGAAAACAACTGTGGTGGATGACCGAAGAATTCTTTCCCTGGTGAAGAAAACACCCTTCACAACAGTTGGCCAGATCAAGAACACTCTCCAGGAGGTAGGTGTATGTGTGTCAAAGTCACCAATCAAGAGAAGACTTCACCAGAGTGAATACAGAGGGTTCACCACAAGATGGAAACCATTGGTGAGCCTCAAAAACAGGAAGGACAGATTAGAGTTTGCCAAACGACATCTAAAAAAGCCTTCACAGTTCTGGAACAACATCCTATGGACAGATGAGACCAAGATCAACTTGTACCAGAGTGATGGGAAGAGAAGAGTATGGAGAAGGAAAGGAACTGCTCATGATCCTAAGCATACCACCTCATCAGTGAAGCATGGTGGTGGTAGTGTCATGGCGTGGGCATGTATGGCTGCCAATGGAACTGGTTCTCTTGTATTTATTGATGATGTGACTGCTGACAAAAGCAGCAGGATGAATTCTGAAGTGTTTCGGGAATATTATCTGCTCATATTCAGCCAAATGCTTCAGAACTCATTGGACGCTTCACAGTGCAGATGGACAATGACCCAAAGCATACTGCAAAAGCAACCAAAGAGTTTTTTAAGGGAAAGAAGTGGAATGTTATGCAATGGCCAAGTCAATCACCTGACCTGAATCCGATTGAACATGCATTTCACTTGCTGAAGACAAAACTGAAGGGAAAATGCCCCAAGAACAAGCAGGAACTGAAGACAGTTGCAGTAGAGTCCTGGCAGAGCATCACCAGGGATGAAACCCAGCGTCTGGTGATGTCTATGCGTTCCACACTTCAGGCTGTAACTGACTGCAAAGGATTTGCAACCAAGTATTAAAAAGTGAAAGTTTGATTTATGATTATTATTCTGTCCCATTACTTTTGGTCCCTTAACAAGTGGGAGGCACATATGCAAACTGTTGTCATTCCTACACCGTTCACCTGATTTGGATGTAAATACCCTCAAATTAAAGCTGACAGTCTGCAGTTAAATCACATCTTGTTTGTTTCATTTCAAATCCATTGTGGTGGTGTATAGAGCCAAAAATGTTAGAATTGTGTCCATGTCCCAATATTTATGGACCTGACTGTATACTGTATCAGAGTAAAAGCAATTAGGTCAAAGGAATTGGCTGAAGAGCTCTGAGACAGGATTATTGTAAGGCACAGATCTAGGGAAGGCTATAAAAAAAAAAAAATTCTGCTACACTGAAGGTTCCCCGAGAGCACAGTGTTTCCATAATTCTCAAATGAAAGAAGTTTGGCACAACCAGGACTCTTCCAAGAGCTGGTCACCTGGCCAAACTGAGCAATCTGGGGAGAAGGGCCTTATTAAGAGAGGTGACCAAGAACCTGATGGTCACTCTGACTGAGCTCTAAAGATCCTGCATGAAGATGGGACAAAGTTCCAGAAGGACAACCGTCACTCCAGCCCTCCATCAATCTGGGCTTTATGGCAGAGTGGCTAGACAGAAGCCTCTCCTCAGTGCAAAACACATGAAAACCTACTTGGAGTTTGCAAAAAAGCACCTGATGGACTCTCAGACAGTGAGGAACACGATTCTCAGGTCTGATGAAACCAAGATTGAACTGTTTGGCCTCTAAAAGTTATGTCTGGAGGAACCAGGCACTCTCATCACCTTCCCAATGCCGTCCCAACAGTGAAGCTTGGTGGCGGCAGCATCATGTTGTGGGATTGTTTGTTTTTCAGCAGCAGGGACTGGGAGATTGGTCAGGGTTGAGGGAAAGCTGAATGGAGCAATGTGCAGGATAGTCTCAATGAAAACCTGTTCCACAGTACTCAGGACTTGAGACTGGGCTGAAGGTTCACCTTCTGATATGACGACAATCCTAAGCAGACAGCCAGGGTAACACAGGAGTGGCTTAGTGACAACTTTGTGAATGTTTTAGAGTGGTCCAGCCAGAGAAATAACTTGAACCCTGTTGAACATCTCTGGAGACCCCTGAAAATAGCTGTCCACCGACAGCCCCCATCCAACCTGACTGCCAAAGGTGCATCAACAAAGTACTGAGTAAAGGGTCTGAATCCTTAAGTACATCATTTATTTCATGTTATATTTCATTTTTTTTCTATTAAATAAATTCACAGACATTTCTAAAATTCTGTTTTCATTTTGTCATTATGGGGTAATAAGTGTAGATTAATGAGAAAAATGAATTTAACCCCTTGCCTACAGGGCACCCCCTTCCTGCCCAGGCCAATTTTCAGCTTTCAGCGCTGTCTCACTTTGACAATTGCACGGTCATGCAACACTGTACCCATATGAAATTTTTATCATTTTTTGAACAGAGCTTTCTTTTGGTGGTATTTAATCACCTCTGGGATTTTTTATTTTTTGCTAAACAAACC